GCTCTCTAGCATGCGCACATCCATTAGCTAGAAGGTTAACCAAGGAAGGGCTTATAAGTGAAAGGCAACAACTCAAACAGGGTTTGCTACTGTTATCATACCTTCTATAGTCAATTATCTTCTAGTTGTACAATTTCCCAGGATGGAGCCTCTTGGCAGCGTTGCACTGTGTTCTGCTACCTGATCATGTGCGACCTAGGAGCAGTTATGCCGCGCCACGAATTGAGCTTCTTGCTAGAAGGTTGTCTGCTTTTTTGAACCTTTTTTTGAATTTTGCTAAGGTTTGTACTGAATTCAGATGGCAAGACAGCTGTGTGGAGATTCGAGAAGCAGCACAAGCCTTACTAATCCGTGAACTTTCACGTCTTGGTTCTTCCGGAAGAAGACGTCTCATTGAATCGTGGACACCATTCTTGCCACCGCTGTTGGATCCAGCACTGTCGATCTTTGGTAGGAGTATATATCTCCCACTTTCCTCGATCCTATTCTATGTGATTTTTTCTCAGGCGCAAGATTGCAGTCTTCGGTACCAGCTTTACCACCATCAGCTCCACCAATCCCGCCTAGGCATAAAAACTCACCGCCTCCTTTGGCGCCTGTGCCAGGTATAGCTCTTCTCATGCAATCAATGATCTGAGTTATGTTATCTTCAGAGCCATCCACTGCGGAAGACGGTGAGTCTGGTGTGCAGCAAGTCCGTCGCAATCAAGCCACTGCCATCATTCTTCTTGGTGTTGTGGGAGCGGAATTTGGCGATGAGCTAAACAGGTGCTTCTTTTTTGAATTTTATCTCCTAGTCCTATTTTCTTGATATCTAGAGCGGATCTGACGAGAGCTACAGCGCTATCATTACTGGAACTGTTGGTTGCTGCACCGTCACCACTGCTACCCGTTCACTCGCCCTTACGACGAGCCGCCATAGACCTTTTGGGACGCGGTTTTGTACACTGGGAACCACATCTGGAGATCTCGAAGGTTGTCCTAGGCCTGCTTGACTTGGCTGCGAATACGGAGAAACAACCACCGTAAGCATTTATTAAAGGGATTTCATATAAATTAGTGATCTCATTTATCCTAATTTAGACCACTTATTATTGGTGCCCCGTTGTCTCCT